CCAGGACCCCGTTGTCTGAACTGTGGCTTCTCTGGGTTGACGTACATGGGAGGGTCAGCATCCTTCCTGGACTTCTGGGCACCAAGGGTGTCAGAACCCAGGACTGGGCGGGGAGAGGAGGCTCTCCCACCGGTCACCTCTGGGCAGGGCACACTGGGCTGGGCAGCAGAATGGAGCTGTGGCTCTGGAGCAGGGAGGGCCTAGGCAGTGGGATTCCAGAGCCTGGCCGACTTACTCCTCTCCCTTGGCCTGCATGGCTTCCTCTGCCTTGCCTACATGCCCTTTAACCTCTCCTCCAAGTGTCAAGATCCCGAAAATAGCTGTGTAGACTCAGACAGGAAATGAGAAGGGGGTGGAGAGCTGGAGAGCAGACAGACAGGAAATGGGAGGCCTGTCGGCCCCCAGAGAGGAAGCAAACTTCAGGCAGCTTCGGTGTCAGTGAGCTTCAGCCAGAGCTGGCTGCCAAATCTCAGCCAAGCCTGGTGCTCAGCCCCAGCCCACCGTACGGAGCTTGGGGTGTGGCCAGCAGGCAGCGCTCTGCTCCAGCTGTCGGGGGAAGTGGCCCTGTAGGGTAGGGCAGTGTGACTGTCTGGGGTCTGCAAAGGGACGTTCTAAGGGACTGGGGCTTCCGGGAGAGCCTCAGTTTCACTCTGGGGGTTTTACGTCTCTGCTGGGGATTGAACCTGTCATCTTAGCGGTCCTCCGGATGTGCTCTTCACTCGGGTTCCAGGCCTTGCTCCGCTCAGGACTGACGGGCGACAGGTGCAAATGCCCAAGGGCATTACCATTCCGTACCTAGTTGCTACCTTCCTGCCTCCCTGGAGGTGGGTCCAAGCCCTCAGTCTGACTGGGCGGCCATAGCTGTTCTAGAGCGACTAGAGTTCTGACGCCTGGCTCACTGGCCAAATGCAGACCGTCCACAGGTCCCCTTTGCTTGCTGCTTCCCGTGACTCCCTTTCTTGAGCCAAATGCACCTTTGTGGTCAGCTCTCTCTGTGCCCCTCCCTGCCTGTATCTTGATGGAGATTTTGGTCAAGTTCAGGACTTGGTCACGTGTGTGTACTCTCAGTACTTTCCCAATCCTTCTATCAGATGCTGAGCAAGGGTAATGTGTCTAGCCTCACGCTAGACCCCAGGGGCATAGAAAATGATTGAGCTGGGCAGTCCCTAAGGAGGAAGTACATGGGAGCGTGTTTGCTGGGGCACTTCAGGATGAAGCCAGAGACAGTAGGAGGTCTGTACTTCCCCCCAATTACCCAGCTTCCCTGTCTAGGCGAGGTCTAGGCCAGGGATGGACCTGGGATGGGTTTCTGGGGGTACAGGAGTTTCTCTGTCTGTTGCTAAGCTCCAGGGAAATCTGTTGCTGGGTCTGAGGCCCCCATACCCTCCTCCCTGTCGCCCCACTCCAGCAGACCCCACCCCCACCCCACATTTGCTTCATCTGCAGGTGGGTGCGGGAGTTTCTGAACGATGAGAACAAAGGCCTGGATGTGCTGGTGGATTACCTGTCTTTTGCCCAGTGTTCTGTCATGTGAGTTTCACCTGGGGCTGAGGGCGGGGCGGGACAGAGCCTCATTCTGAGTTCAAGGGGAGGGGTGACATTTCATTTGAAGGGTCGGGATGGGAATGGGAGTCCCAGGAAGGGAGGAGGGGTCAGTGATGTGAGGGTGGACAGGCAAGCCCAGGGATGTCTGGGAACCAGTGAAGAGGGGCCAGTGTCAGCTGGCAGGCATTTTGGGAGGAGCAGCTCAAGGGTTCGAATCAGGCCTGTAGCACTCCTGGCTGCTGGGAGAGAGGCTAAGGTGGAACTCCTTACCTTTGGGCAGATGAGTCTTCAGGAAGCTCTGTTAGTTTCTCCACCTGTGAGAGAGTTGCTCCAGCTAGCTGTTGGAGCACCCCAGGGGCAGGGAGTGTGACCTCTGACCTGGATTGAACCTGAAGCAACCAGGAGCCCCCTCCCAAGCTTGGAGGCATCTGGGGTGAGTGAGTGTAGCCAGGAGGGCCTGTCAGAGAAGGCGGGTTTGGAATTAGAAGGAACCAGGGTTGAGTCTCTGCTCTGGCCCTCACTGCCTGTGACCTCAGGCACAGTTGTGTCCTGAGGGTTGTCGTAAGGGCGAGGTAGGTAACGGGTGCCAGTCAGAACTGTTGGACTATCCCAGGTCGACATGCACTGCGCTCCTTACAAACTCACTGCCATCGAGTCGGGGCAGACTTGACTCACCGCGACCCTGTAGGAGCAGGGTGATGCCCCCATGCGTTCCTGACATGGTTACTCCACAGGAGTGGAAAGCTTCAGCTGGTGGTTTTGAGCCGCCGATCTTGCGGTTATCAGCCGAACCGGAACCCACTGCACCACCCGGGTTCCTGCCATTGCACTAGCCACTGTGACTCAGTGTGGCCATTATCCCAGGGAGTGTACACTCCACAGTGACCTGACCGGGGCAGAGAGTCCAGTGATGACCCACAACATGAAGAATGCGGTTAGACTTAATCTAACCCCGAAGCTCAGTCTCCTCTAACGTGACCAGCCATCCCAGTTTGCCCAACTTTCCTGGTTTGCATGCCAAAGCCCCTCCTGGGAAAGCCCTCCTGAGCACACAGCCCCAGATTCAGTGCTCCCTTCTCCTCCTCTGCCCCGTGTTTCGTCCAGCAGGTCTTGTCCCCTGTCCTTAGGGATTCTCCCACCCCGGGACGACCGAAGAGGGCCCTGCTCTCTGCTCCGTTTCCTACAAGTCATGCCTGACGACTCTCCTGCCCCTTTAAAAACTGCTCTTTTTATAGAAAGAAATGGAAAACATTTGCTGAAGTGATTTTTATTTTTTTCAAATTCAAAGCTTTTATAGTAAAAAGATGTAGATCATTTGCCCCAAATAAGCCTATCTCTCTTATTTGGAAAGCAAATAAAGCCCAGCTGCCTGAGACCAGGAACACACTGGAGCCTGAGTATCGGAGCATCCGCACCACCGGCTGTGCTTTTCAAAGGAAGACTTGAGAGAAAGAAAGTGTGTGCTTGGAGAAGGGCTGCAGAGGAAAGTGTGCCGCTAACTAGGGCTTCAGTGAAGGCATGCATCTTACGACTGTTTATACCAGGCTAGGGGACATTACTTCCGAGAGAGGGGTGTCACCAACACACTGGCCCTGCCAGAGGAGTCCCTCCGATGCCTGCTGAGCCCCAGCACACACCCCGAATGGTGCCAGCAGGACCCCAAAGCCTACTCCCATACCTTGGGCCATTCAGGCATCTTCATCTGTCATTGCCTGTGTCACAAAGCCTCTGTGCCACCCGATGGACGCCGGGCACTGCCTGTCTGAGCATACAGCTCCTTGGGCAGAGATGGACACTTGGTCCTCAGGGACTTATAGGGAGGAGTGGAGCTGGTTCTCAGAGGTAGACGTAGCTGACATGGGAATGTGGAAGGGAGACGGCCACTTACTTGCCCTGGCCATACTCAGCCGTTGCTGCAGGGCCATCCGGTCCCAGAAGCAGGAGGTGACACAGAAGCCACCCCACCTCCTACGTCCTGCAGGGACCAGACTACGGGGCCCTGGGCAAGCCTGCCCTTTCTTCCCCTAGGGCAGATTGAAGCCCCAGAGCAGCCACTGTTATCCAAAAATAAACCTAGCAACTTCAAGCAGCCAGGACTGGGTAAAACCTGGTCATAGAAACCCAGCGCTAGGGTGAGATCCTGTGTTCTGGGCATTCTGGGGTGTCCCATTCTCCCCGCTCCCCTCAGATCTTCCAATTCCAAACCAAGGGGCCTAAGAGGCTCTTCTGACTGTTGTCATTTGCCAACTAGCAAGACCTGGCGTTAGTCCCTCCCCTCTGAAGGTGGGCTCCCCCCCCCCCCCAAGCCGGTCTGAGGAAGTGCAGGAAGCTGGTCTGTCCCACCCTGTGCCTCTAGGCCCCGGAAGGTCCTCCTGGAGTCACCTGACCTGTAGGGGCCAGAGGATGTGGGCCCATCAACACTCCGGCCCCACAGGCTGCCTCCCTGGCCTGCTATGCCCACTCCTGGTCTCTCCAGCCCTGCTCTCTCCTCGCCACCCTTGCTGCTTGTCCTCCTGGCGGCTGGGGTCAGGGGAGACTGGCCGGCGGCCGGGGTCTCCCGCACCCGTGCCTGTGTGTGCGCACTCGTGTCCTCTCCGGCTCCAGGTTTGACTTTGAGGGTCTGGAGAGCAGTGACGACGGTGCGTTTGACAAGCTCCGGTCCTGGAGCAGGTCCATCGAGGACCTACAGCCGCCCAGCGCCCTGTCGGCCCCCTTCACCAACAGCCTTGCTCGCTCCGCGCGCCAGTCTGTGCTCCGGTATGTGTGCGCTCGCCTGCCCGCCAGCGCAGCTTGGGGGAGCAGCGGCGCCTGCTCACATGCCTCCCACCACTCTTGCTTCCAGGCTCAGCTCTCTTGCCCTCTGCCTGCCCGTCTGTCTCTGGTCTGTCCTCTCTGTCTCCTTGACTGCCCAGCGATCTGTCCTGGGTAAGTACACGTCCTGGGCTGTGCCTGCCCCACCTGGGGTCCCAGCTCTTCCCTTCTCCTCGGCCCCTCTCTGGGGCCCCTCCCTTCCTCACTCTCCTGGCCCTGCCCTTCCTCCGGGCCTTCTTGGGCCGGGGCTTGCCCTCTCCCAACTCCTGGGTCTCCCGGGGGTGACCCAGCGCTCGCCTCCTCTAGCTCTTCGCTGTGCTCCATTGCGCTTGCAGACCGGCCCCTGCCTCCCACCGCCCTCCCTCACTTTGTCCTCCTTCAGGCTTTCTCTCCCTGGTCTGTAGTGTCTAAGAGCTGCCCTGCCCAGCGGCAGGTGGATGGACCGGATGATCCCCCTGAGCCCCTTCCCTTGGTCTCTGTCTCTACTCATGCTTCTTCCCCGCTCCCCTCTGGGCTGCGACTCAGCGCCTCGTTCTGGTCACATGACCCCAGTGGCGCATGAGCAGATAACACGTGGTGCACGTTCAGACAGCGCCCTGCAGGGTCTGCTGTGTGCAGTAGTGGCGCCGGACAGGCAGGCCATAGGCCAACCCGACTGGCCTCGGGAAGAGGAGGCTGAAAAGAACCCTCAGTGGACCCATCTCTAGTCGTAGGAAGGCCGCCACACCAACTGCGTGTGTGTGAAACCTGCTGGCAAATCTTGGGGCAGAGGGGGGTTTGGAGGCTCAACGCGACGATAAAGCCAGGATCTCGAGCAATTGCTGACAAGGGCCTGTGCCAGACCTGCCTCTACCTTGCACCTTGTCTCTGGGCTGGTGCTAGGCCGTCCCTCTGCCACCTCAGCTGCTGGTGCCACTGCCGGGCAGCTGGCTGTCTGTGATGGGGAGTGCCCAGACGCTTCCCCTGCAGCCTCGGCACCCCTCACGGCCTGGCCTCTCTCCCCAGGTACAGCACCCTTCCAGGGCGCAGGGCCCTGAAGAACTCCCGCCTGGTGAGCCAGAAGGATGACGTCCACGTGTGCATCCTCTGCCTCAGAGCCATCATGAACTACCAGGTGAGGGCCCGGCCACGCCCGGGGAGTCCGAGTGTAAAAGGCAGGCCTGCTGGAGGCTCTGCAGGCCCGGAGCTCCCTCAGGATCTGCTGCCCCGCCAGTCAGGTCCCCCCTTCTTCTGGCCTTTCTCCCCGCAGTATGGATTCAACCTGGTCATGTCCCATCCCCACGCCGTCAATGAAATTGCACTCAGTCTCAACAACAAGAACCCAAGGTTCGCTGCTTCCTTCACCTCTCTCCCTCCTCTGCCCAGGACTCGGGAGGGCTGGGCTCCCCACCCACCCTTGGAGTCCTGATCTGCCACCTCACCTCGGCCGGAGGGCAAGTAGCGCCTCAGGCCTCCAGGTGGTCTGCACAGCTTAGGGGAGGTGATGCCGAGCTCCTCTCCACTCCGAAAGGACCCACCTGGTTGTGGGAGTTGGCAGTGCTGACTAAGGGCAGTGGAGCGCTGGGGGTGGTTGATCTTTCCTTCTTCGCCCGAAGGACCAAAGCCCTTGTCTTGGAGCTGCTGGCAGCCGTGTGCTTGGTGCGGGGAGGCCATGAGATCATTCTTGCCGCCTTTGACAATTTCAAAGAGGTCAGTCTTCTTTGTGTGTGTCTGGTGAGGGGACGGGTAGCTGGTAGGTAGGTAGCATGTCCTGTGATCTCTCGCCGGTGATGTGTTTAGCATCACTTGGCTTAAGCAGCCTGCCCTTCCCACCCCCACCCGCCTTGCTTCTTTCTCTCTTTTTTAACCAAACCCATCCTTCGGTCTCACCAGAGCTTATGCCAGGGAGGCTCCCGACTGGCCAGCTAAGGATGCCCTCACAAGTCCGGGGTCCTAACCTGGCCTTGCAGCAGCAGCACCTACAGAGCCTATTAAAAATCCAAGAGGCTTTCAGAAAATGCGTGGGGACATGGAATAACAAGTTGATAGCACTTTCTGAAAGCTCCCTTGTAGAGGCCTGGGGCCCATTGCCGGCCCAGGGGTGGACCAGATGGATAGATGTCTCTTGTCAGGAATCTGCCTGGCGATTCTGACACAGCACACTGCTGGCAGACCCTAGGCAGATGTGTATGACGTGGGAGGAGGAAGCCAGAAAGGATGGTGCACAGGGGCTTGACTATTGCTGGTGAGGGGAGAGAGAGAAATTCCTCCTGGAATTTCCCCAGCCTTGGAGCCTAGCTCCCAGCCCCTATCTGCTGGAACCTCAGATTCCTCGACATCCAGCCACAGCTGCTGGTCCCACCCCTTCCGCCACTGTGAACCTCTTCCCTAGCATCCATTGTTTGGGCCAGGAAACGGCTCTTCCTCCTTGAAGCCCAGAAGCTCAGAGGAGCCTCTGGACCCCTCTCAGCAGAGGGGCTTTCCTGTACACTGGCCCCTCCCGTGCCCCTCTGAGGACCTCAGGCTCCTACTCCGGCCAGGATGGACTCCCTTCCTCCCTCTTCTCCTCCTTCCTTTGGGGACTCGACGCAATCAGGGCCCGGGGTTCTGCTTGGCCGGCCACAGGCTGTCCTGAACTGCCTCAGCAGGTCGGTGAGGGGCCAGGGGGCCAGCACAGGACCCTGAGCCTTCTTTGACCATGGCTTGAATGGCCCAGGCCATTGAGTGTTAAGCAAACCCTTTTCCACTCATTTTCCTGGGAGTTAGGACTGAAGGAGGGGGGAGCTCGGGGTCTGACGATAGCCGGCCCTGTCACTGTCCAGGTGTGCAAGGAGCTGCATCGCTTTGAGAAGCTGATGGAGTATTTCCGGAATGAGGACAGCAACATCGACTTCATGGTGAGGAGCAGGGCCACAAGCCGCTGGCAGACAGGGCCAGGCCACCAGTGCAGTACAGTGCAGTCCGCAGCGAGCCTCTGTGTTCAGCAGACGCCCTCGCCCCGGTTCCCCCAACTGTGTGCTTAGCGAGTGTAGACCAGGGTTTCCAAAGTGGGCAATGCCGCCCCCTGGGGGCGCTGGAAGGATCCCATGGTAACAACAGAAGCAGATGCCCACACTTTATCAGGATTGCGGGCCGTGGTGCACACGTGGTTCCTTGCCAGGGGTGCACTGAGTAATTACTTCCCCGGAAGGGGTCGGTTTGGGGACCGAGGGCTTAGACATTCCAGGACGTGTCTCTTGGGTCTCAGAGCTCCTTCCTTCCCTGTGCTCACATTGCCCCCCGTCTGAGCCTCTCAGCTGCCGCCCCTTTCCCCGGGCCCTCAGCGAGCTAAGGGTGTCTCTGGAGTCACAGAAAACCAGCGAGCATCCATTTCTCATGTCATCTGCTTAACTCCGTGCCCTGGATAGTAAGTTCAGCATGTGTTTAAGTTCAGACGCCGCAGGATAGCCCCGAAGGACAGGGCTTCTTCGCTCCTGCCTTTTGATTTGGCCATCTGTTCTTCACGATGATGCTTCTAACAGCTGCCTCCCCTCCCTGCCCGTTGGGCCTCCCCCTGCCCTCCCCATGTCTGCATCTGCGGGCTGCTGCCTCCCCAGGTGGCCTGCATGCAGTTCATCAACATCGTGGTGCACTCCGTGGAGGACATGAACTTCCGGGTCCACCTGCAGTATGAGTTCACCAAGCTGGGGCTGGAGGAGTTCCTGCAGGTGAGCTGGACCGAACCGTGGGCGCCTTAGCTTTGCTGCCGAAGGTGTCTTTGTGTGTGTGGTGGTGGCTTTGCTTTTTGTTTTAACAAGAGCCTGGTCCTACCTGCTGCAGAGCCCAGACTGTCCCTGCTTCTGTGGTTTGGGGCTGAGGCCTTCTGTGGGGAGGTTGCCTGGCAGGCAGCTTGTGACCAGGGCCAGCAGGAGGCAGGCCCCAGGAAGTGACCGTAGAGGAGGGCGAGGATAGGTCTCCCTCAAGGACCTTCAGCGACTGCTGTCTCTGCTTTCCCCAGAAGTCAAGGCACACGGAGAGCGAGAAGCTGCAGGTGCAAATCCAGGCTTACCTGGACAACGTGTTTGACGTGGGTGGCTTGCTGGAGGATGCCGAGACCAAGAATGTGGCCCTGGAGAAGGTGGAGGAGCTGGAGGAGCACGTGTCCCACGTGAGTGTCCTCTTCGTGCTAGAGCCAATGTAGGGCAGGGGCAGAGTGGGGCCAGCGAAGTTCCAGAAGTCCTGACCTGAGCCCCATCGGGCTCCAGTGTCTGTTCTGGCCGAGGCCCTGGCTCAGCCTCAGTTTGGAACACACATTGACCTCCAGCCGCAGGCTCAGGAGAGCCGGGATGTGGACAGTTGCTTGGCCTCTGATGTTCCTTCCCATGATGTCAGACCCCGGGCCCGTAGAGCTACATGACCAAGCTAGGGGGTCCTAGCTGGCCTGTGCTGGGTGGCCAGGCTTGTACTCCAGCCCCAAACCCGCTGTTCCCATCTTGCAGCTCACGGAAAAGCTTCTGGACCTGGAAAACGAGAACATGATGCGGGTGGCGGAGTTGGAGAAGCAGCTGCTGCACCGGGAGAAGGAGCTAGAGAGCATCAAGGTACCCCGCGACCAGAGCAGGGAGGCTGGCTGGCCCTGGGCTCCTGAGTGCGCTTCACCCTTGAGGGCCCCACCCCAACCCTGTGGGGGTTGGTTGGAGAGAGAAGTGGAAGCCAGAGCAGACCAGAGACACATGGAAAGACATAGGGGTAGACAGGGCCCCGCAGGGGCTCTGCCTGCCAGCCTGCTGCGGCTGCTGCTCCGGCCTCTGCTGCTCCATGGCCCCCACAAGGCCTGCAGAACGAGGGGCCGAGAAGCCCACGGCCCCAGCTGCCCGGAACAGGGCGAGCAGCAGCCCCTCATGTTGCAGTCTCTTCTGGTTTCTCACCGTATGAAATCGTGCTCTCGACCACTCTTTCGTCCAGAATACTCATTGTGTATTTGCCAGGTCCTTGCCAAGGGTCCGAAGCACAGGGTAGGGGGCTGTGGAAGATGCAGAGATGGATGGGTGAGATAGGTTCCTTTCATTTAGGGATTATACAGGGTGCAGTGAGATAAAAGCAGCGTTGAGGCCCAAGCTCTGGGAGCTCCAGTGTTGAAAGAAAGCAGCTGTGTCAGACTGCTTCCCAAGGCAGCTTTGTCCCTGGGCCTTGGAGGGCCAGTGCAGCAGAGTGAGGCTGGAGCAGAGGTACCAGTGGAGAGAGGCAGGGTCTTGTGCTTACCTCTTGTACTTATTTATTTACTTGTAGCTCTTTATCGTGCATTGGGTGAAAGTTTACAGAGCAAATCAGTTTTTCATTCAGTGATTCATACACATTCTGTTTCATGTCACTGATTGCAACCCCCACAAGGTAACATCACTCACCCCACTTCTTCCTTGTGTTCCTGTGTCCCTTCCTCCTCCTCCTCTGACCCTTCTGAACTTGGTCCAGGGGCCAATGTCCCATCATTCTCACACTCTATCCAGGACCTCTGTGATCCATCCCTTCAGACAAACGGATAGTGGTAGCTGGGCCCCATCTAGTTTTCTGGTCTGTCAGGGTCCCGGAGGCTGGTGTTGGGATAGTCGGCTGGCCTGGTATTTCAGGCCCCTTCAGTTTCCTCACTCCCCTTTGCTCCTGTCCGGGTGACCCCAGCAGTGACACCGTAGATGGTGGCTCCTAAGCCTTTAGGACTTCAGTCGAGACTCAGCAGAGTAGGATGTAGAGCTTTGTTGACCTTGGAGTCCTCTGAGAACACGCGCTGAGCTCCCACTCCGTGACACATGCCCTCAAGGTGTTTGGTTATGTTTAAGAAGCTTTCATAACTTTGCCCTCTGTATGTAACACCGCCTTCACCGGTATATCTGCAGCACAGGCAAGAAAGAACACATGTAGAAACAGCCTTCTCAAGCCTGCTCTCCCTTCCACACCCTGCAGCCTGTCTGTCCGAAGCTCGCCATTACTGCAGGATTGTGTCTGTCACAGGATTGACCGCTCTCGCCTTTATCTCTTGCAGTCTGCCCAGTGTCTCTCCGGCCTCCAGCATCTTTTACTGATTTCTGACCCCTTCAACCCACATGATGGCATGTCTGTCCTCTAGCCAGTAATGTAGCCTCCCCTCCCACCCCTAGTCACCCCCCAAGATCCTCTGCTCCGAGTGAAACCCTGTGCCTGACTTTTCACACAAGACCTGTGCTCTGTGATGGACGAGTGTCACTTACCCTGCGCTACGCTGCGCTGCCCTCCAGTCCCGTGCTCTCACCTGCATACTGGGCACACGCTGCCTCCGGGCCCCCCAACAGAGACTCTAGTGGAGACTCTGGGGTAGGCAGTCCTCCAGCCCGGTCTCACTCCTCGAGGCGAAGGCCGGCCGTCCCTCACGCCGCTGTCTGCTCCGCAGGAGACGTACGAGAGCACGAGTCACCAGGTGCACACCCTACGGAGGCTCATCAAAGAGAAGGAAGAGGCCTTCCAGCGCCGGTGCCACCTGGAGCCAGGTGCCCGGGGCCTGGAGTCCTCCGGCTCTGCGGCTCTGGCCAGGGTGGGCCCCCCAGAGCTGAGTGAGGGCATGCCCTCCAACCTGGACCTCCTGGCTCCAGCCACGCCCTCTGAGGAGACCCTACCCCTGCCCCCACCACCAGCTCCTCCCTTGCCCCCACCACCTCCTCCATTACCAGGTAACCAAGACCCTTGGAAGTTGGAGGGGGGTTGGGGGTGTTGTCCGGCCTGACTCTAGCCAGCAGGTCTCGCTCAGAGAGCTGCTGGGACAAGAGCATCAGTGGAGCGCTGGAGAAGCAGCGTGGGGCAGGCTGGGGGCGGGGAGGAAGGCCAGGGGGTCGAGCTCAACAGGAGCCCCTGGTTGCGTGGTGACGGGCTGCTTCTGTGGAGCTTACAGCCGTAGGAACAACACTACAGGCAGTGCCACTCTAAATCAACTTGACGGAGGGCATGAGTCTAGTCTATTCCCTGAGGCAGAGCGGGACCTGTGAAGTGTTGGGAGGACCCCGCTGCTCAGTGCTCCCGAGAGAGCACCGGAAGCTTGGGCGACAGCAGAAGCGGGCCCAGAGACTAGCAGGGAGCATGAGGACTCGGGCAGCCCCAGGGCCAGGCCCATGCAGCCTCCTCCTCCGAGTCTCTTAGACCCTCGGCCACTGTGGCCTCTCTTCTTCCCCAGACAAGTGTCCCCCAGCCCCACCTCTCCCTGGCGCTGCCCCCTCAGTGGTGCTGACAGTTGGCCTGTCAGGTGAGTGTCCCGGGGCTCGGCCTGGGGCTCCGGAGGCCAGAGGAGTGTGTCCCTGGGCCCTCGCCTCATCGATCGTCTCTCACAACTAGCCATTCGCATCAAGAAACCCATCAAGACTAAATTCCGGCTGCCTGTCTTCAACTGGACAGCACTGAAACCCAACCAGATCAGTGGCACGGTCTTCAGCGAGCTGGACGACGAGAAGATCTTGGAGGTGACCCGGGGCCGGGTCCCGAGGGATGGGGACCTGGCGGGTCTCTGACCTGGGTCTCCTCACCTTGCAAGGGCCCTCAGACTCAGGAAGGAAGGGATCAGGGCCAGCTCCACGAACCCGCTGGGCACGCTGCCAGGGGGTCCTGTCCTAGGGCCAGGCCACAGCGGTTTCCCTTCTTGTCTACGGCCAGGACCTGGACCTGGACAAATTTGAAGAACTGTTCAAGACGAAAGCCCAGGGCCCTGCACTTGACCTCATCTGCTCCAAGAATAAGACGGCACAAAAGGCCGCCAGCAAGGTGACCCTGCTGGAGGCCAACCGCGCCAAGAACCTGGCCATCACCCTTCGAAAGGCAGGCCGCTCGGCCGAGGAGATCTGCAGGGCCATCCACACGTGAGGCTCCCCTGACCTTGTCTGGCTCCCCAGTCAGCTGGCAGGCCCACTCGCCCCCCAGCAGCGTGGCCTACCGTAGATTCCAGGGCACCTGGTAGGACCCGCGGACCCCCTCAGTCATTGGCTGGCTTGGTCAGAATTTGCTGGGTACCTGGCACTGGAGTTCCCCGTGTAATACAGGGAGTGATAAACCTACAAGGTAGCAGAGGTGCAGGCAACTGTGGGGACCAGGGAGGGCTGCATAGCCAAGCCTGCTCTCCGGGACCAGAAGGAAGTATAGGTGGGCAGTACTGCGCCCCACCCTTCCCCACTGCAGGCCCACTAGAAGGGACCAGGGGATAAGCAGGCAGGTGTACGAGCTGAAGCTTGCCCTCCGTCTCCCCAGGTTCGACCTTCAGACGCTGCCAGTGGACTTCGTGGAGTGCCTGATGCGCTTCCTGCCCACGGAGGCAGAGGTGAAGCTGCTGCGGCAGTACGAGCGGGAGCGGCAGCCCCTGGAGGAGCTGGCTGCCGAGGACCGCTTCATGCTGCTCTTCAGCAAGGTGGAGCGACTGACGCAGAGAATGGCTGGCATGGCCTTCCTGGGCAACTTCCAGGACAACTTGCAGATGCTTATGCCGGTAGGCCCCTGCCCCGACTCCTGCTCCTCTGTGGCTCCTGGGTGGCCCTCCCAGCCCAGCCTGGGCACTCTCCGCTCCTCTCTCCCCTGCAGCAACTCAATGCCATCATCGCAGCCTCGGCCTCCGTCAAGTCCTCGCAGAAGCTGAAGCAGATGTTGGAGGTGGGCAGAGGGGCTTCCCCAGGGGGGTGCTGGCGGGGCAGTTCCCAGGCCTGCGTCAGGGCTGCCCGCAGAGGACAGAGAAGGGGCCTGGCCTGACCTGTCTGCCCTGCATGTTTTGGACAGATTATCCTCGCGCTAGGAAACTATATGAACAGCAGCAAGAGGGGAGCGGTGTACGGCTTCAAGCTCCAGAGCCTGGACCTGGTGAGGGGCCAGGCGGCACCTAGACCCTGGAAACCGGGGTGGTGGTGGGGGTGGAGCAGGGAGCAGAGCGCTTGGTGTCCTCACACAGCCCCTGGACCAGCTGCTGGACACCAAGTCCACTGACCGCAAGATGACGCTGCTGCACTTCATCGCCCTGACGGTGAAGGAGAAATACCCGGAGCTGGCCACCTTTTGGCACGAGCTGCACTTTGTGGAGAAGGCTGCGACAGGTGAGGGCGTGCGCGCTCAGCAGCAAGGAGAGAGGGGGCCCTGTTTCTTCTTTCTGGCCGTTTTAAGGCTTTCTGCCGGGGCCATTGGCCCAAGGGGCCTTCCTCCATCCACGCCACGACTCCCTGCCCTTCCCTGCCCGGTGAGCTGGACGGGAGCAGGGGTCCTGTGCTCCCCCCAACCCTCGGCCTCCCCACAGTGCACATGACACGCTCGGAGAGCGAGTCCCACAGTCTCTTGGCTTGCCTTCGAGGCCTCCTCCTCTGGGTCACAGCCCCCGTTCTTGTTCCTCCCGAGGGAGGCTGGCCTCTGGGAGGCCCAGCTAGCTGTGTCCTTCAGGGTGGCCCAGCTTGGCGAGGGGATGGGGAGGGACAGGGACGTGAGAACATGTCAGTCCATGTTGGAGTGGTGGCTGGAGTCTGCTGGCGGGCCTGGCTGGCAGCAGGCATGCCGGGCTCTGCCCTGGGTGAGCCTCAGCCAGGTCTCTGATGGCCAGTGTCTCTGGAGAACGTGCTGCTGGACGTGAAGGAGCTGGGTCGGGGCATGGAGCTGATTCGCCGGGAGTGCAGCCTGCACGACAACAGTGTCCTCAGGGCCTTCCTCAGCACCAGCGAGGGCAAACTGGACAAACTGCAGCGGGACGCCAAGACAGCAGAGGTAAGCCGGGCCGGCGGTGGGAGCGCAGCCAGGGCCAAGGGCCCACGCCGCCGGGTGGGCTTCATTCTGCTTCTGGCAGCCAAGGCGTTGATGGAATGGCTGCCTGTGTGGGTGGGAGCGGGCACTTCAGGGGCCGGCGGGCAGCAGCCTCCCAGTGATACCCCCTTAGGCTTTGAGAGCACCAGGCTGGGTCTGCTGGGCCTGGACCCGGCTTCCTGTGGCCCCTGTGTGTCTGGTATGGGAGCTGGGATTCTCCCCCAAGCCCTGCCAACCCTCACTGACCCTTATGGCCCCCTCCCCACAGGAGGCCTACAACGCAGTGGTTCGCTACTTTGGGGAGAGTCCTAAGACCACACCTCCCTCTGTGTTCTTCCCAGTGTTCGCCCGCTTCATCCGCTCTTACAAGGTAAGCAAGAGACTTGTGAGAGGAGTTTGAACCAGGCAAGGGACAGGGCTGGGCCGCAGGTCTAGGCCTTTGCAGCTCCTCCTCTGGATCCTGGCGAGGGAGGGGTCCAGGCTGTGAGCTGGTGGGCAGGGTGGGGGCCCAGACCCTTCCTGTCATTGTTTGGGGCAGGAAATGCCCCTCCAGAGTGGCCACCTGGGGTTAGCTGGTCCTACTGCCACCCACTCTCCACGCTTAGTGTCAGCCCCGCCCTCACAGCCTGTGTGTGTGAGCTACACACACACACACACACACACACACACACACCATACCACACCCTGCTTGGTCCCCAGGAAGCAGAGCAAGAGAACGAAGCCCGAAAGAAGCAGGAGGAGGTCCTGCGGGAGAAGCAGCTGGCTCAGGAAGCCAAGAAACTGGATGCCAAGGTGGGTGGGGCCCAACGCGAGCTGGGACTGGAGGAGGGCAAGACGGAGGGAGGGAAGGAGTGGAGTGGAGGGGCCAGCTAGAGGGAGGTGCGACCCTGCAGCCCAGGGGCCACCCACAGGGCCTGGGGGGAAGGCCCGCAGACCAGACAGTCCAGAAGCAGGCCCCGCGCTGGGAGTGATGGCTCCCACCCGCCCATATTCACCCCAGAGCCCGTCCCAGCGGAACAAGTGGCAGCAGCAGGAGCTGATAGCAGAGCTGAGGCGGCGCCAGGCCAAGGAACAGCGGCCTGTGTATGAAGGCAAGGACGGGACCATCGAGGACATCATCACAGGTGAGGCCCTGCTCCTTCGGTCCGCTCACTCCTCAGCCACCAGCCCTGCCCAGGGGACCACCATGGCCTGACCTCTGTGTCTTTCTCCTGGGCCACAGTGCTGAAGAGCGTCCCCTTCACGGCCCGTACTGCCAAGCGGGGCTCACGCTTCTTCTGCGATGCAGCCCACCACGATGAGTCAAACTGTTAACCCCCAAGGTACCGGGCACCACGGCCATCTCATGCATGCCCACTGGCCCAGGGCGTGCCCATGGGCTCCCGCCCCCCTGCATGACCTGGAGCCGTCCTCTGGCAGCCAATGCTGATGAGGCCCAGCACGGCTCCTTGCATGCTCCGTGCTCTAAGAGAGCATGGCTTTTGCCCTGCATGTGCCCTCAGGGGAGTGGTACTGCTCCCACTAATGCTGCCATGGCTTCTACTAAAGCTACGGGGTAGGGAGTTGCCAGACCAGGGCAGGTAGAACCAGGCTGAGCACGGCCATTCCTGGGGGCTTTTTTTTATTTCCTCTAGGGCAGCCTCCCCCAAGGGCCTGGCTGTAGCTTGTCTAGGGACATTCGGACAGCCTGGGACCACTGGCTCTTGAGCTGGTCTGCCTAAGGTCTCTTCCCAGCCTGCCTGGTTTCTGCCCACTGCTCAAGGGCTGCTTGGCATCCTCCACCTGTTCCTCCAAAGAGAGAGCTCAGAAATTTCAACCGCCTCCTGGAGCCTCTTGAAGCTTCCCCCTTCTCTGACTCCTGGCTGCCTCCTCCCTGCAGCCAGTGGAGCTGCTGTGAAGGCCCTGCTCCTGTGGAGGGTGGGCCAGGCGTGGCCACCCCACTGCTCACTGGCTCTGTCATCCCCACAGGCCTCCGCCACCAGCCCATTGTCGTTCGACTTCAAGCCAGGAGTGTGGTGCCGCCCAGCGGTCCCCCTCGGGCTCCAGGCCCCCACTGAGAGAGACCCTTCGAGCGAGCAGGGCAGAAGCACTTCCACCTCAGTCCTGCCAGTCCAACCGGTGGATCTGGGGCCCTGGCACTGGCCATGGGCCCAGCGGAGGCCCTGCTGCTCGCAGCCCAGGAATGAGCCTGCCTCCCTTCCTGTGCCTCCAGGACTGCACTTTGACCCAAGGCTGAGAGTCGTCAGGGGTCAGCACAGGCTGGGAAAAACCACCCCCAGCTCTAGTCCACAGGGGACCCCTCCCAGAGGGATGAGGGGGAGAGAGCAACTCTACCCGCTTTCTCCCTCCTCTCCCAGCCCCACAGGTCACCTCTGGTCCAGCAGCAGCCCAGCGTGGACCCCCTGCCTTGGGTCTCACCCAGCTGTGACCCAGTGATAAGGGGAGGGGCCGACACCAGTGAGCTGCCTGCCAGAGGTTGGCAGAAGAGTAGGGCTGCCCCCGGGCAGCAGGAGAAAGGGTGTGCCAACAGCTCCCCACCTTCTTACCCACTTTGCAGGGGAAGAGGCCATAGCTGCTCAGTTCCCTGCCGTGCCTTCTCAGCCCCTTTTGTACATGTGCCTTCCCTCCTCCTCTGTACATAAACCCCAGCACCAGGCCTGACTCTGTCTGCTCTTTCTGCGTTTGGGGGGCTGGGAGGAGCCTGCCTGCTTCAGGGGATGTGAGCTCACAAGTCTGGGGGAAGGGAGGCGGGCTGGGTGGGCGCCAACCACACAAAGAGGCAGGCCTGCCTGCCAGGCACTAGCGCCCTCTGCTGGGCACATGGGCACCTGGCCAGCCCCAGCTTGCTCCACGAGCATAGGGAGAAGACAGAGCCACAGATCACATTATATTATTTTTTTAAAAAAACAAAAAGCAACCAACCAAAACCAACCACACATACACTGGGCCCCAGGGTGGGGAGGAAGGACTGATGGGCCCTGGGCCGGGCGGGCAGGAGCAGGCACAGGCACTGGTGCTAGAGGGTGAGGGCCCTGCCTGACACCCAGGCTGTGTCCACCAGCCTGCCACTCTCCACAGAGACCTTGCCCACATGGTAGCTACTGGCATTGCCCACCCGCGGCACATCCCCCCGAGCTCTGGTCTGGGGCTGAGGGCAGGGACTGCACTGGTCCCCAGAGGGGCCCTTGGACACCAAGAGCAACCTGGAGACGTGCCAACCACGGTGGGGCAGGGTGGGGACTTCTCTAAGAAACGTGGACAGAGCCTGGCTGCAGAGGAGCCTGGGGCAGGCAGGGCCGGGGTCCTGGGAGCTGAGGGCCGCCTGCAGGTCACTGGTGGTCGTCCAGCTGCTGCAGGAGGGTGCGCCGCCGCCGCTCCAGCTCGCCCTCGCTCAGTTCACTCTCCGACGTGTCCCAACCTGTCTGTGGGAGCGAAGGCGCGCTGACCACAGGCCTCAGCTGAGAACCGTGGAGCCTGAACCCCGGTGCTGGCGGGGCTGGAGCCAGGCCGCGGTGCCTCACCTTCTCCTTCTTGACTCTGAAGCCCGGGGAGCGGTGAGCGAGCTCTGCCCGCCGGGGCTCTGGCTCCTTGTCTGGTTCCTGTTCCTTCTCATCGCTCTCCTTGCCAGCCTTCTCATCGGGGTCCGTCTCACTCTCGGGACTGTTCTGCAAGAGCCCCGAGAGCACCCTCAGGCCTGGTGCCGGCCAGCGGGGCGCACGCACGCTGCGCGGGACACTCCCCCTACTCACCGACTTGTGTCTTCTCTTCTTGGGTTTTTTTTTTGGTTTCTTGACTTTCCGGAGGCCATGATCTGCAGGTGAAAAAGTCCCTGGTAAGGAGGGCGGGCGCTTCTTCTCTGCCACAGAGCAGAGCAGGCCTTGTTCCTCTGGACAGACAAGCGCGGAGCCGGGAGCAAGTCTGCCTGCCGGCCTGCCCTTCCTTCCTTCCCCGGGGTCTGCAGGGCCACAGACTGGAAGCTGTTCCGGCTGGGCCTTGGTCAGTGCTCTCCTCCTGCTTACCTGAGCTGAGGAGGAGGCGCGAGGATGGGGAGCCCTGTCCCCCAACAGTAGCACCCCCACTCTCAACTGAGTCGAGTGAGGAAGAGGGCTCAGAGCCAGACTCTGAAGGGTTCCGCCGCCTCCGCTTGGGGGGCCGGAAGGCCGGTGGGGGCAGCTCCTCCTCTTCCGACTCCGAGCCCTGGGCAGACAAGCAGCCATGAGCGCAAGTTGGACGCTGGGGGCAGGGGGCCCAGGGCCAAAGGAGGCATCCCATCGCCCGCCCTCAACTCACCGAGGGCGAGTGGGAGCGCTTGCGGTGGTGCTTCCTGCCCTTCCTGCCATGCTTGCGGCCTTTTGTGTGGAGGTGCTGGCATTCGGTCTGCCGGAGAGGGAGGGGAGGGTGGCACCCAAGTTGGCACCTCTCATCTGGCTTCCCTCCCTCCCTCCACCTGGGGCCTGTGCCCATCCCAGGGCCCCTGGAGTGAGAGGACTCTGAGCTACCTATGGGCACCCACCCAGAAGACAGAAGGCCGATCTCACCTCCAGCACCTGCAGAAACTCCCGGAAGAGCCGGATCCGCTCCGACTCCAGGGTGATCTGCTCAAAGGCTGGGTCGCACACAAAGCGCTCTCGGACCTTGAACGGGGAGAGCACTGCTGAAGCCACCAGGCCCAGGCCGGCCCGGACACAGCCGCGAGTGAGCACGGGGCAGGACCGGGACATGGGGGGCTTGGAGCTGGCCCACAGCTGAGCTGGTGACCGGGCTGGGCCCTCAGAGGTCCAGAAGTACCGCTGCCCTCAAGTCAGGGTCGAGGGGTGGTTTGGATGCCAGGCTTCAGTCCTGACCTCTTCCCAGGCAGTGCCCAGCTCCAGGGCCGGCACAGCCTGCCTCAGCATGCTTCGAAAGGCAGCTTCTCTGCGCCTCATCCTGCGCGCTTCCTCCTTCTCCCGCTCCCTCTCTCGGGCCTCGGCTTTCTCCAGCAGCTGCAGGGCAGAGAGCACAGACCAGTCACTGACAGTGGGCGCCCTTGGCCTGGAGGGGGTGAGCTGGAACTGGAGGAGCGGAAAGAGACACTGGGAAGAGTTAGAAACCGGCCCGCTATGACCCTGGCCCGCCCAGCCCAGCCTGGCCCCTCACACTATTGAAGGTCAGCTTGATGTTGCCTGCGTCCAGCGCAGCGGCCCTCTTGTCAAAGCTTATGACGTGGGCGAAGTCCTCAAAAGCTGTGTTCACCTCCACGCAGAAGCCCCGGTCCTGTGGGGGCAGCAGTGCATGAAGCTGGAAGCTGGGGCACCCCCACCTGAACCCCAAAGCTGGCCACCTGGGCCGGCCAAGGGCCAGGCTGCTGGGGTGTTCAGAAAGCCCCCTGCCCGCTGGAAGGGGTCCAGGAGCTGCGGTGTGCCTCTGAAGGCCAGCCGTGCAGGTCCTCGTCCACCGGCAGCCCCAGGCCTACCCTGGGTTCGAGCACCTCCATCCCAGGGAGCTGAGTCGGTGGGCTCCACAGGGCTGGGGACCCAGGGTTCTCCATGTCTGCATCTCCTTGGTCTGCCGACTGATGCCGAGTCTCACCGCTAGCTCTCTGTTCCTTTGCTGCTCCATAAGGGTCCCCGGAGCTCCCCACCTGTCACCCTCCAAGGCTCTCTGCCGAGGTTTACTGGGTGCTTCGTAGTAGAGCCGGTGCCAGGCTGACTGCGGCCTACACAGCCTCTCGCCAATCGTTACATGAAGCTCAACTTAAGAGCAGGTCAGAGTCTCCTAATTTTACACAAGGTGAAACCGCGATGGAGAGAAATGAATTGCCCAAAACGGCCCCATGTCGTCAAGGACTGCACCCACAATCCCACTGACTGCATGAAAGACAACGAGGGCAGCCGGCGTGCAACTCCCAGACCACGTTCAAACATCTCTCTCTCCAAGCAGCCCACCTCCCCAAGTGGAGGGTTGGAACAAGCTGCCTAACTTGGGGACAGGAGGACACAGTGGTGGCTCTGGAGTCTGGTCATCACCCTCAGCTGAGGCACAGGCCCTGAATCCCTTCGTCCTCCAGAGCTGTACTCTCCGCTGATCTCAGGAGTCTGTTCCTACGTTCCTGGACATCTTCCATCCCGACTCCCCCGGGGAACTACAGCCTCCATGGCAGTTCCTCCCGAGAGCAACCCCCCTGAGTCTGGCCCACCCTTCCTGCCTCCTCTCCCCGTCCTCAGCCAACCACCACTCCCACTCCCCAGGCCTCCCCAAACCTCTGGAAAGGCACCGAGGAGGAGGAGTCAACATTGACTCCATGCCGGGCCTGTTATAACCAAAAGAAGTCCTGGGGGTGCCGTGGGGTATGAGTGGGGCCGCTAACCGCAAAGCCAGTGGTTCAAACCCACGAACCAACCCCCAGGGGGAAGATGAGGCCATTTGTTCTTGGGAATCCTAGGCGGCAGTTCTACTCGGTCCTATGGGGCCACTATGAGTCAGGACTGACTGGCTGGTGGATTGGTTTGGGCTTATAAGCAAGGCACTTTGCAAGTGTTTCATCCTCAACCCATTTTACAGAGAAGGAAACGGGCTCAGAGTCCTGCTAAGTTCCCGGAGCCGGTAGAGAGCGGAATTAGACTTAACCCTGTTCGACATTGCTCCCTAAAGCGCCTCCTGTGCTGACAATCAACCTGGGGATCCCTTCCAGTTCTCACTATGCTTAACCTCTGGCCTCTGCTGTTTACTTAACCTTCCCTTCTCTGACCTCCTTACGACTCCCTTCCTGTGTGTACATCCCCTGGAGAACAGCACTCAGGCCTGCTTCACTACCAGCCCTACAGGCTCCCAGCACGCTCTTCCTCGCCCACCTCCCTCCTGGCTTCCAGACCTGACCAGCCTGACTCCTCAAAGACCCTTCAAGTTCAGCATCTCCCCTAAGAATCCACATCCTGTCAGCCCCCGCCCCAAGGTCCTCCCAGGCCACGTCCAAGGCTCTCCATTATGCTCTGGGATGAGAGGCAGCATGACAGTCCGCCTGGCTGGTGGGGACCTCAGGGAGCTCCCGAGGGAGAGCGGGGAGGGGACTTTTCTACAGGAGTTTCTTTCTGGGGGGCATGCAGAGGTAGGCCTCAGCGAGGAGAGGACCCCAGGCGGCTCTGAGCAGACCAGCCCCTTGGGGGCTGCATGTGAGCTGCCCTAGGAAATTGGACCGTCCTGAGACTGGCTCGTTCCACTTTACAAGATCACCCAAGGTCAAGAACGGGCTTTGTTTTCCTCCTCCCTGCCCGGTTGCCTTCGACAACTCCCAGCGGAGTCCTCTTTTCTGCAGACCTGGTCTTCCTGCTCACCCCCTAACCAGCAACGCCCTCACCCACCCGGGGGCTCTCCTTCCTCTCAATTGCACAACATAAGTCACCAACTCCCCTCACAGTGGTTTTGTTCCACTGGCTTAAACTTCTCTCTGCAGCAGAAACCTTTCCTCCATAAAAAAAATCTCACGCAGAACCTCCATATATGATAGTGCGCTGCTGTTTGAAGAACTCTGTTGGGAAAGAAGGGAGCGCATAGGGCCCCTGCTCCCTGGTTTGTCATGAGACTCTGCTGAGGAAACAGCGGTTTCAGAAACGGCGCTTGGACGCTACAGCTCTCCCATCTGCCACCTCCACTGTCCGTGCCTGGGCTCAGGCCTACCTTGGCTCCCACCTGGTCTCCTGCGAGTCCCCTCACAGCTTCCTTGCCCCCCGCTCCCCCACCTCTAACCCAGCCGCTGGCACCCAGGCTGCTCAGTGTCCTAGCACAGCCCCCACAGCCAGGGAGCGGTTTGGAGGTACCAGAAGAGATGCCAGTGGAAGCTCCCATATTGGAATGCTTGCCATTATCCCTGCCAGCACCTTGTGGCTTCTTCACACCCTCTCCTGGAAGGATGCAAACAGCCTCTTCTGCGAGGTACTGCTCCACAGTCCCCACTGGCTCTCTGCTACTTGCAAGGTAAACCTGCACACTTGTCAATAGTCTGGGAGCGTTAGAACCAAACTCAGCTTCCGAACGAGGGTCTGTGATTCCAGAGAAACCAAGGCAAGTCCAGGGCCAGATGCCACGCTTACCTAGGAGGAAGTAACTCGAAAATAGCACATATACCGTACATACTCAAGTACAAGCCCGCCCAAATATCAGCCGAGGCACTTAAGTTTACCACACAAACGGCATTAAAAAATGTGCTGAAAAAACCCGGCTTATACACAAGTACATTCGGTACACTAAAAATGCACGAGTTTGTAAGGTAAAACCAGGACTTCAAAGGAATAGTCTGTGTGGGGCGGGGGGCGTTCTAGGTTATGTTCGTAGGCCCCTTTCACGCCTCGGAAATTAACTAGTGTGCTTTGGTGGGAAAACTTCCCATTTTTCGGACAATGGGAAAATGGTTCAGTAACTGTCCATGGTCACCCAGCTAGTAAGTGGGCAGTCTGGCCCAGGAGTCCTGCTCTTAACAGCTGTGCTACAGGACCTCATCAAACACACCAGAATGTCCTTCACTTCCTCAGAGACACATGGTTTTTCTTGGGAAGCACAAGTCTCTCATTTACTCTCGCCTCCCTTTGATGAGCATGGGCAGGGAGCCGTATTTCCCCAGCAGCAGGTGGCCGCTGGCCTGTGCTTCAGTGTCAGGGAGGCCACTGAGTGACGAGGCTAGCCCCTTCCAACAGGGCGGTGGGTCCTCAGCTTGGCACCAAATGCCTTGCCCATCGGGCCCAGCGCAGAGGCATAAACGGGGCACACGGAAGGGACGAAGCAGCTGCTTACGAGCTGTTGAGTGTGAAACTGACCTATAAACCGTGCCCTAACTCACATGAAACATTTAAAAGCAAAACAAAAAAGCACCAAAATCCCAGCCCACGGCAGCTAGAGAATCCCGATTCTCAAGAAAAGATCGACGAGTCCGGATTTTCAAGTGGAATTTCTTGATTTTAAAAATGTTAGCAATGAATTCCAACTGTTTCGACCACACTGTAGGCTAGGGGCACACCCCCATGTGCTCCCAGCATGCACTAGCTGAGCTTCAGGCTGCTCCCACCCCTCGCCTTCGCCTTTGCTCGCTGTGCCCAGACTGCCCACCCCCAGCCTCCAGAAGGAGCAGCTCCTCATCGGTGCCCTGGCCCGTGTCCACAGTAACACTCAGCCCCAGCTCTCCGCATGGGCGCTTTCACGTCGATCTTCCTACAAGACCTGAGCTCCCTGCAGGCAGACACGCCCAGTGCATAGGACACTGGAGCCCTGGGAGCACCGTGGTTAAAGTGCTCAGCTTCGGACCAAGGTCAACGGTTCAAAACTACCAGCCCCCCTGGGGGAAAGCGGTGACAGCCTGCCTCTGTAAAGAGCCCTTGGAATCCCTACAGGGCAGTCCTCTGTCCTGGGAGGGTCCCTCCGAAGGGGGAAGGATGAGTCAGCAGGGGGCCTCTGATTGGCATCTAATAACGATGTTATTAGACAGGTGTGGGTCTGAGCTGGGACGCTCCTCCAGCCCGCACCCACCTTCACCAGGGCCGCCCTCACCTTAAGAATGTCCTTAATGATCTTCTTCTCATCATGGAAGCGGGCTTTCAACTCCTCCACATAAAACTTGAACAAGTCCAGAGGGGTGGAGCCTGCGGAGGAGGGAGGGAGGGGGGCCTGGCGGGCGGCAGCTTCCCGAGGCCCAGGGTGGGGTCGAGGACAAGCCCGGGGAGTGGGGGTGCCGAGAGGCCAGCGGGACCGGAAGCCGGGCCAGAGATGGGGGGTCCCGGCTGCCTTACCCGGCTGGCCCAGCATGTTGGCAAAGCGGACATCAGTGCTGACCGCTGGGTACAGCTCCATCCAGGTGGACATAGAGTGCAGCTGCCCTGTCTCGTGCAGCTCATCCAGGAAGGTCTGGGCAGACAGAGGCAGTTACAGGAGCGTGAGGCAGGAGCGAGCAGCACGGGAGGATAGTGAGTCCACCCGAAGGGGATGCAGCCCGGGGAAGTGTAGATAGCAAACTGAGGCTGGGAGCCCCAAAGCAACAGGGGTGTGCAGATAGGCAGAGAGGAACAGACGAAATAAACCAGGAGGAGCCAGCCAGGGGAGGGCAAGAAACAGCAGCCTGCCACCCCAACCAGGAATATAAGCTGCCCTTGGGGCCCCCACATCAAAAGGAAAGAACTATGGTCTAGCTGCCAGGTCATGCTTAGGCTGCCCTCTGCTGGTGGTTCCTGGGTAGTACCAGAACCTAGTCTCCCTAGCAGGGTAGCTCCAGCCAAGGGGCCTCCTGGAAGAAGGCAAGATCTCGGGGGCCATGAGTCGATGCCGACTCATCGCGACCCTACAGGACAGGGTAGAACTGTCCCCGTGAGTGTCCAAGGCTCTAACTCTTTACTGGAGTAGAAAGCCCCGTCTTTCTCCCTCCGAGCCACTGGTGGTTTCGAACTGCTGACCTTGTCAGATCACAGCCCAATGCCTCAGGACGACATGCTCTGGGTAGAACGAGCTCCCGTCTACAAGGGCAGCAAAGGTACCTGGAAGGCCTCCCGGTTCTTGCGCTGCTGGCGCCGCTCTCGCAGCCGAGCCCGCTCCCTCTCCTCCTCCTCCTCCCTCTCCAAAGCTCGGATGTGCTCCTCAAAGCAGATGAGCGCATCTTCCTTGTCCATGTCTACCACAGGGAGGAGTCAGGGGGACTGCCCCCTTGGGACACCCTGTCAGACCCCAGCACCCCGTGCTCCTCAGACACTGCCCCTGCACATGCCAGGGACTCCCAGAGGGGTGGAAATGGGAAGGAGAGGCCATAGGAGCAGGGTGGTCTTGAGGGGGAATGACTGATTGTGCAAGGCAAATTTAACCAGTATTCAGCCCTTGCTGAACTGGAATTCTTCACAGGAAGCCAGTTATCTCAGGGCCCGAGACTGCACACATCTAATGGAATCAAATTTTGATGCAACTGCAGAAGGTCACTTTCTGTGATCACTAGTGTTTGTGGGTGAACAATAGCTTCTTGGAACATCACGTGGTCAGTTAATGTCCTCAGTGCTATGGCAGTGTAAGACCACAGTCACATGAGCCAGGAAAATCATCATCAACTCCTGTCTTCTGAGTCCCACTCCACAGTCTCCCTCCAGAGGCAGGGGGGGGGTCCCTGACCCACCCCCGGAATCCAGAGGTGCCAGAGATGAGTGAGTGAGTGCTGGGGGGCCGCCAGGGGGAGGCCCTGCATGGAAATCCTCTGGGTTCTCCAGGTGGCCAGGAGGTGCAGGGGAAGTGTGTGAGGGCAGGGAAGTGGCAGGTGTGCGCGGAGACCCAGGCTTACTCTGCAGCTGATGGTCCTGGGCAAAGCTGGGATTGTCCATGAGGTACTGCTGGGCCTGAGACCACGTGGTTTGGAAGCTGACGCTGCTCATGCCGTCCAGGATGGTCTTCAGGGCCTGGATGTTGCGGCGCCTCAGCTGCTTGGCCTGCTCCTAGGGAGTCAGGGACCCGGGTGAGGCAGGTCTGTGGAACTGCTGGGGGCTGGGGGCGCTGGGCGGGAAAGGAGCTAAGGTAAACGGCACACTCCCGGGAGAGACCTGCGCTCCTGGCTTTCACAGCCCTAGCAGGAGGAGGGAACACAGGTGACAGCCCCACCCCACCTCGGGTGATGGGCAAATGCCACGCAGGCTCCCATGGACAGGAGCTGGAGACCCGGGGAGCGACTAACCGGGACCTAAAGCAAGCAAGGGCACCAGCGCAGATGGACGCTGGCGGCTCTGGCCCCGGCGGCCGTTACCTTCTCCTGCTTGGCCTGCTCCTAGGGAGTCAGGGACCCGGTGAGGCAGGTCTGTGGAACTGCTGGGGGCTGGGGGCGCTGGGCGGGAAAGGAGCTAAGGT